AGAGGCTGGGACTTTTTCTGGATATTAAAAAAAAAAAAAAAAAAAAAGAAATGAGACATGAGTGTTTTTCATTAGAGCATTTTAACATACCATTACTTCATAATCAGGACCCAATAGGTTTTCCCATCTGGATTTCAGCTCATTTTCTGGAGAGGCTGGGACTTTTTCTGGATATTAAAAAAAAGAGAGAGAGAGAGAATGTTGAAACTACTGTGAGCCAAACACACTTAACTACTAAATTCTTCAATAACAGCCCGGTTTCAGTAAGTAAAGGGGAAATGAATAAAAAGGAAAATGCATTAACTTAGGTCTACTAGGTAAAGTAAATCAGAGGTGACTTATAAAACTAATGTAAAATGTAAAGACCAGCTGTGACCAAATTATGAAGGAGCTTTTGTTGTTAAGGGATACTTTAAAGGAAAGAGGACATGATGAGTTATACATGAAATCTAAATTATATACAGTTTATATGTAAACATCCTATGGTTTACAAGTAAAATGCATCTGGCTTTGCTTTATAATACATTAGGACATAGAAGGATTTCATTTAAATGTTAATCACTTCAAAACAGTACCATTTCAGCTGCCCACTAGAAAAGTTAAAAATGTATCAAGATATCCTACTATCAGCAGTGCATATCAACACAATACAATCAGACTTTTCACATGGGCAGCTATAAAGCCTTGTCTAGTTTAATTCAGTTAAAGTTTCATGAGCTTTAAGATAATAGGAACTTTGGTTTTACATCAATCTTCTGTTCCTTGGTTATTAGGATACTTGTATCTTGATAACTTTCTTGAGTGTAATACGGCCTTTGTTGCATAGAAAATTTTATAGAACTAAAACAGATTGTAAGTGTCTTGCCTGTCCTCCACAGAAGCTCAGTGCACGGTGCATACTGCACGGTGCATAGTATGAATAACGTCTAATAGGCAAAGTCAAAGGACTAAAACTGAATTTATAACTTATACCCATAGCAGCAGCAGCAAATGAACTTCTACCTTTTTTAACTTAAAGAAAAACTATCGCAATTTTGTCTTAAGATTGGACAAGTCACAGAACAGTTATCACAACTGACATAACCATCTGCCTGAAATCAAACGTAACTTGCAGTATCAGCTCTTTCAGTCTTTAGCACGGACAGCTCATCTTGGATGCATATAATGTTTAATTACATAATACAAATCATTAAATGAAAGAGGCTAACCTCAAAAATCAGTGACTAAGACTAATGAACACTAAAGAACTTAAATTACTACATTTATAAAAGAATACCCATGAAATAACTATATTAACTGCTATGCTAGATTACACTTAGGGGATAACTAACCAAAGATCCTACTAAAAACAAAAAATCAAATTCATTTGGGCTCTGCACCTTTGTGCCTATTCCTGTTAGCATTTCATTAAGAAATTACATTGAGTTATAACATCTTGCCTTATAAATTTTTTCTAGGCAGTAATGTCTGGTAAACAAATCTGAACAAAATTTACAATTTATTTGTTGAATTCTAAGCTTAAAAATATGGCATTCATATGACAGTTAATATAAATGTATAAAATAATGTTCATATTTCACCAGCAATTCTTTTGACTATATTTTTATCTTTCAGTTGTGCAATGAAAACGCTGTCATGAGTTTAAAAGCAAGCACAAAGGCCTAAGTGCTAACGAAAAGAGACCTACATTCAGCAGCTTGCAAAATGATCAAAAATTGGGTAACATGATGATCTGAAACAAATATTCCAAAGGCAAAAAGAGAGCTAACCTCATAGCAGTTAGCAGATTTTGGTTTTACTCTAAAGCTAAAATTATACATATGCAAGAAGAAAAAAATGTAGTGAAGCTGATCCAAAAAGCACACATAAAATATTTCTCAAACTAATACTCCCTGGTCAATTGCAGGTATTCTTTTTGATTTAATTTTTGTCACTATAACTATAAAATGGTATGTCATTTTTAAAATTTGTTTTTCTTTCTTTACAAATGAGGTTGATAAGTCAGTGTTGTTACTGGCTTTTTTGTATTCCTCTTACAGGAACCATCTGTTCATTGTCTTTACCTGTTTTCATTTTAGCAAATAGGACTTAATTTAAAATGGGAACATAAGCCAGGCATGGTGGCTCAAACCTGTAATCCCAGCACTTTGGGAGACCGAGGAGGATGGATCACGAGGTCAGGAGTGCGAGACCAGTCTGGCCAACATAGTGAAACCTCATCTCTACTAAAAATTAAAAAAATGAGCCGTATGTGGTGGTATGGGCCTGTAACCCTAGCTACTTGGGAGGCTGAGGCAGGAGAATTGCATGAACCTGGGAGGTGGAGTTTGCAGTGAGCCAAGATCATACCACTGTACTCTAGCCTGGACGACAGTGTGAGACTCCATCTCAAAAAAAAAAAAGGAAACAATATATAAGATGCCAAGACCATCAGAATAATGACAAAAATCTATTATATGGTTGTAGTGCGTGTCTTGAAGTTAAAGTCTTAAGCATCAAGAAGTAAAATAATTTCATTTCTTCTATTACTGACATTAAAAGGTGTATGCAAATTGCATAAAATTAAGTACTTTGATTAGTAAAAAAAAAGAATGGAATGTTTTATCATTTTTTTCATTTTATTAAGCATGCCCAGTTATGCCAAGCAAAGTAAATAATGTTTTTAAAAGGTCAAGTAGCATTTATAATAAATTATAATATAATTTATCCCTAGCATGAGTGTAATGGTGATATGAAAAACTTTGTCTTGTCATTATAATGATTAAAAAATGAACATTTATTACGGAAAAAATATTTCTAAAACTATTTCTAACTTCAGAATGTACTCAATTTTCATCTGCTGAGCTCAACTCAGATTTGCAAAGATAAACTGTGTCTACTTGAGTCAAAAAGAACAAGGTAAATTTCCAAATCACAGGAAACGTTTTAACCTGAGTAAGAGGTTAACTACTTTTCTTCAGGCTATTCTTTCTTGACCCGAGACAAGACAAAGCCAAAAGCCAAAACTTCTTGGGAACATGGGTAGTGTTAAGTACCCAAGGAGTTGCATTTAGCTAGCAAGGCTTTCCAGCACTTTGGAAGGCCAAGGCGGGCAGATCACTTGAGGGCAGGAGTTCAAGACTAGCATGGCCAACATTATGAAACTCCGTCTTTACTAAAAATACAAAAATTAGCCCAGCCTGGTGGCATATGCCTGTAATCCCAGCCACAAGGAAGGCTGAGGCAGGAGAATCGCTTGAACCCAGGAGGCCAAGGTTGCAGTGAGCTGAGATCATGCCACTGCACTCCAGCCTGGGCAACAAGAATGAAATACCATCTCAAAAAAAAAAAAAAAGACGTTGATATTAAGAATACCCTATTTTATATCTCCAAAATGCCTCTAAGATTTCTCACATTGTATTAACTATAAAGAGAGAAAATGGTTAACAAATGAAAGAGTCTATGATTGCAAAGTGAATGCTTGGTACCTACCCAATTTTTCTAATTGTATGTTGTCGTTGTTTAAATTAACCATTCTTTCTTCAATTTCCTCATCTTCACCATCCAAATTTGTTTCAGTTTCCACTTTTCCAGTTAGAAAGACAACTGGTGGTTTTGGTGGTTCTACAACAGTTCCTAATTTTTAAAAAATTTAATATTTTTAATGCTAACTTGAATCATTAGTTGTGAGGACTATATTTAAGTGAACATATTTTACTCCTGTTCTTCCATTTTACAACCTTATTAAATCTGAGGTAACTTACATAGATCATTCCTCAAACCCCAAATCCCATGTGTAATAGATAACCAATCGATTCCCTTAAAAATGAACTTGTTAATAGCACTGAAAAGAATAAGGAAGAAACAATGGGAAGAGAAAAGCAAGGTAAACTCAATGACAAAGAAGCGGTTAGATGCTTTTCAATATATCCTTGGAAAAGAAAACAATGCTAAGGTCCTAAGCTCTTACTCTTATGGTGGGCAGAAAGCAAGACCTGCAAAATAAGCTGGACCAATTGCTATGGGCTCTCCTAGCTTCTGGAATGACGTCATCACAACTCTGACAAACCAGTCTACACAGGTAACCTTATTACTTAGAAGGGAGTTAGAATTCCCCTGGGTGTAGAGATTCCTCACTTTACTAAATTGAGCTAAGTAAAATAATAGAAGAACTGATCAAGAGCAGTCATTCACGGCTGTAATCCTAGCACTCTGGAGGCCAAGGTGGGAGGATCATGTCAGGCCAGGAGTTTGAGACCAGCCAGGGCAACTTTGGGAGACCCAATCCCTACCCCCAAACAAAAATCTTTGAAATTTAGTCAGACATGGTGACATGCGCCTGTAGTTTTAGCTGCTTAGGAGGCTGAGATGGGAGGATTCTCTGAGCCCAGGAGTTTGAGGCTGCAGTGAGCTATGATTGTGCCACTCTACTTCAGCCTAGGTGACAGAGTGAGACCCCGTTTTTAAAAAAAAACTAGAAGAGTTATCCAAAGTTTTCACTCTCATCCATAAGTTGCATAAGAGTCATTCTAGGTTGTTTTTTAAATAATACACATCACTTATATTCTTATCAAAAATAATTAAGGCCCAGTGCGGTGGCTCACACGTGTAATCTCAACACTGTAAGAGGCCAAGGCAGGTGGATTGCTTGAGGTCAGGCATTCAAAACCAGCCTTACCAACATAGTGAAACTCCATCTCTGCTAAAAATACAAAAATTAGCCAGGTGTGGTGGTACACACCTGTAATCCCAGCCACTGGAGAGGCTGAGGCACAAGAATCACTTGAACCTGGGAGATGGAGATTGCAGCAAGCCGTGATTGTGCCACTGCTCTCCAGCCTGGGCGACAGAGTGAGATGCTGTCTCAAAAAAAAAAAAAATTTACCTAATATAACTAAGACTGTAGATTTAGCTTCTAACTCATAGGAAACTAATGATGGGTAGAAGAATAAGTTAAGGACACCATAGGGAAACAAATTCAGAATGGGGCATTCTAGTTACAAAGGGACTAACGGCTTCAAAAAGTCTGTACCATGGGCACTGGGAGGTATTCTTCTAGATTAAAAAAAACAAAGAGACATAACAAATGCAATAAATGCAGTGTGTAACTGGATCTTGGTTTTGGGGCTTGGCGTTTGTTTGTTTGTTTGTTTGTTTGCAGGGGGTGTTAGGAGGAGTGGAAAGAAAATCTACAAAAAATATTTTGGAGCAAAAAAACTAAGAAACCAAAAAAAAATTTTTAAGTATAGGTTAGGTATTTGGTATTAGGAAATCAGTATCAATTTTCTTTGCTGTGATAATACTATCATGGTTATATAAAAGAATATCTTCATTTTTATAAGTTATAGGCTGGAAGTATTCTGATGTCTACCACTAACTCTAAAATGGTTCAGGGAAAAAAAAATAAACAGATGAAGCAAATATGGCAAAATGTTAGCTAGTGGATCTAAATGGTAGGTTTGTGGGTATTCACTATATTATTTGGCACTTTTTCTGTATGTTAAACTTTTTAAAAATACAATGTTGAAAAATATAGTATGATCTTAACATGAGACTTTAAGCCAAACAGAATGCTTTTAGATCATTAATCCACGATATCGATAAATGCACAGCCTGGTGCTAGAATAAGAAAAGCCTATCACTCACTGCAGCATTTTTTAAAAATAACCAAAAGGGAGAAGCAACTGAAGTGAACATGAGAATAAACAGATAAAGAAAATGTGGTATATACAAACAATGGGGCATTAAAAAAGAAGGAAATTCTGTCCTGAATGAACCTTGAAGACATTATGCAAAATGAAATGAGCCAGTCACAGAACAAAGATTCCACGATTCCACTTACATGAAGTATCTAAGCAGCCAAACACACGGAACAAGAAGATAAAATGGAGATTGCCAAGGGCTTTGGGGGACAGGGGAATGGGGAGTGGTTTAATGGGTATGAAGTTTCAATCACACAAGATGAAAATGTCCAGCAATATGCTGTATGACAATGCGCATATTGTTCACAATACCCTAATGCACACTTAATAAATTTTTGGGCCAGCCAAGGTGGCTCACACAAGTAATCCTAGTACTTTGGAAGGCTGAGGTGGGAGGATCACCTGAGGCCAGGAGTTCAAAACCAGCCTGAGCAACATAGTAAAAATCCATCTCTACAAAAAAATTTAGAATTTAGCTGGGTGTGGTGGTGCACGCTTGCAGTCCCAGCTACTTGGGAGGCTGAGACAGAAGGAGGATAAAAAGAAGAAAATGAAAGAGGAGAAAATAACAATAAGATTTCAAATGGTAGAAGGATTATGTGAGAGGTAAACGATGTGCAGTTTGTGGCCGGGCACAGTGTTTCATGCCTATAATCCCAGCACTTTGGGAGGCCAAGACGGGCAGATCACGAGGTCAAGGGATCGAGAGCATCCTGGCCAGCATCGTGAAACCCCATCTCTACTAAAAAAAAATACAAAAAATTAGCTGGGCATGGTGGTGCGTGCCCGTAGTCCCAGCTACTCAGGATGCTGAGGCAGGAGAATTTGAAACCAGAAAACGGAAGTTGCTGTGAGCCGGGATCACACCACTGCACTCCAGCCTGGTGATAGAGAAAGATTCTGTCTCAAAAAAAAAAAAAAAAAGATGTACAGTTTGTTTCAGTAAAACAGACTTCTAAATGTTGACATGATGCAAAGCACACAAAAATGTGTGACATGGGATAGGGGATTGGAGGCAAAAAGACTTAACCACTTTCCCATAATATAGTCCTACACATGAAACAGGTGATTATAATGTAGTGTGCCAAAAGCTACAGTACCGTGCTTTTCAAAGGGTGCAAGTGAAGCACATAAGAAAGACACCCAAACCACGGAGTAAGGAATACAGATTCATTTAGAGTCAGAACTTATCCCATCATAAATTTAAAATATAGGAAAGCTCAATAAAGAATTGTTAGGTCAGGTGTAGTAGCTCACACCTGTAATCCCAATACTTTGGGAGGCCAAGGTGAGCAGACCCCTTGAGCACAGGAGTTAGCAACCAGCCTGGCCAACGTGGTGAAACTCTGTCTCTACAAAAAATACAAAATTAGCTGGGTGCAGTGGCATACACCCGTGTTCCCAGCTACTTGGGAAGTTGAGGTGGGAGGATCGCTTGAACCCAGGAGGCAGAGGTTGCAGTGAACCACTGCACTCCAGCCTGGGCAATAGAGTGAAACCCTGTCTCAAGAGTTTGCTAATCAAAAATTGCTCATTCACAGATACTGGGCATACCTACATTCAGTTGATATGGTAAACTGAAGCCAAGCGCTCTATCAGAGCTATTAAACACCATTATATTTATATGAATATTTATATAAGCCATTTAAGGTCAAAATGGTATTCGTATAATTTGTACTATTTAGGCAATTTTTAATTTCATACATTCGATGCAGTGCATCTGTCTTTCAGCAACAAAAGGTCTTCTATCACATAAAAGAAAAAAGGTCCAATTTAAATATAAATCAATATCAGCAGAAAAAGCAAAGGCTTCCAGGTGTATTGTATCTTCAGAGGAATATTTCCAGAGGAAAAAAAATTCATTTATCTTCTGTCAAATTCAAGTATTTCTTACTCCTTAGTTATACTCACTCCTTTTTTTTTTTTTTTTTTTTT